CGAGACGGGGAGGAAAGCAGTGCACTTCCGTCGGGGTGGTTCGCACGCAGCCTCCTTCAGATGGCCCATGCAGCCCCAAGCAGCAGCTGAGTCACATGGGGAGGGTGGAATCGACCACATGCCCCAGGGCTACCCCTTCCCCTACCATCCGCGTCGCCGTCACACACGGTGATGTGTCGGGTCACATCGAGGTGATACCGGACACCGGCGCTGATACTACGGTGATAGGTCTGAAGCACCTCCAGAAACTGGGCCTCACCAAACGCGACCTGGGACCACCGCCGCAGCTGCAGTACTACAATGCGGACGGTTCCCAGATGCCGGACGCTGTGGGCTCCTTTCAAGCGGAGATCACCTACGGCGACAGGTCGTGTCACGGATGGATCGACGTGCAGCCTACTCTCGCTACACCCTTGTTGTCGTGGGAGCACTGCAAGGAGTTAGGCGTGGTGCCCAGAGACTTTCCTGAGCAGATCCTAGCTGCTCGGTACACCACCAGCAGGGTGCGTGAATCAACGAGCGACGCCCCTGGCGCTGCCGCACAGAGCTGCCCAGAACCCGCGTCCACTCCCGCCCCGTCTCCACCCAAGTCATGGCTGCTTCCTCTTCACAGCGAGACGTCTCCTTCAGCCGCAAAGGCCTACTTCCTGAAGGAGTACTCGGATGAGCTGGTGACGAAGGAGGCCCTACGGACCGCGCCACTGAAGGCTATGGCGGCTCCGCCTATGAGGATACACCTGCGGGAAGATGCGCAGCCGTTTGCCATACACACTCCCCGGTTGATCCCTCTCGCCTTCAGGGATTCAGTCAAGAAGGAACTGGATTCCATGGTGGCCCAGGATGTCATCGTACCCGTTGGTGACGACCCGTCTCCTTGGTGCCACCCTCTAGTCGCTGTGGCTAAGACTAACGGTGGAGTGCGGATTACTACCGACTTGTCTAAGCTTAACAGCCAGGTGTCCCGTCCCGGCCACCCTTCACCCACACCTTTTGCAGCTATACGGAGTGTGGACCCGAAGGTACGGCACTTCTCGACAATGGACGCCCTCAGTGGTTACTGGCAGTTCCCACTGAAGAAGGAGGATCAGCCACTGACCACTTTCATCACGCCTTACGGACGCTTCAGCTACTGCCGTGGCCCTGTGGGATTCGCTGCTACGGGGGGACGCCTTCTTTCTCCGTGGTGACATGGCACTTCAAGGCGTGACCAACTGCGTGAAGGTAGTGGATGACGTCTTCCTCTACGATGAGGAATACCTGACGCATCTTCGCCGCATCGACGAGGTACTGACCAGGTGTAGGACGCATGGCATCACTCTGAATGCCGAGAAGTTCGTCTTGGCCGCACCTGCAGTGTCTTTCTGCGGCTACCGACTCTCAAGGGATGGCATTGCTGCGGACCCGGAGAAAGTTTGCACCATAGCGGACTTTGCAAAACCTGCCAACCTTACGGATCTCAGGTCTTTCATGGGCCTGGTGAACCAGCTGGCAGAATTTTCTCCTGACGTCTCCGCCGCTGCCGGGCCTCTCCGCCCCCTGATAGCCCCAAGAGGACTTTCACATGGACCCCTGACCACGACCTCGCCTTTCAAAGGTGAAGGAGGCCCTGTCAAGTCCACCTATCCTCGCTACTTTCGACCCAGCACTCCCCACCGTCCTCCAGACAGACGCTTCGCGCCTGTACAGGGTTGGTTACGCCCATCTCCAGGATCACGGTGGAGGAAAGTACCGGCTCGTACAGTGTGGCTCTCGCTTCCTCACCGTTGCTGAGTCTTGCTACGCTACCATCGAGCTGGAGCTGCTGGCAGTGGTATGGGCCTTATCGAAGTGCAAGTTGTACTTGATTGGCCTACAGCACTTCGACCTCATCACAGACCACAGGCCCTTGGTCCCCATTCTTAATCACTATTCGCTGGACACCATCGAGAATCCTCGCCTCCAGCGCCTGAAGGAGAAGATTTTGGCCTTTGTCTTCACCGCAGCTTGGCGCGCAGGTAAGGAGTTGTGCATCCCGGATGCCCTCTCCCGCTCCCCAGTCAGCCGCCCGACACCTGAAGACAAGATGCTCAGCACCCAGGCCGGTTTCTCCGTCAGCAACATCGTCACTTTGCAGGCCATACAGTCCCTCGCCAGCACCCAGGCCTCAGTGTCGCCACTCGACAGCGATCTGGCCCTTGAGGAACTACGGACCGCGGCACGCGACGACCCCTCCTACACTCAGCTCTTGGAGAGTGTGAGGACTGGGTTCCCTCGCGATCGTTTTGACCTCCACAACGCCCTACGCCTGTATTGGAAGATACGTGAGGACCTCTACGCAGATGAGGACTTCGTCCTGTATGGTGCCCGTTTGGTCGTCCCTGCAGCTCTCCGTCGTCGCGTTCTGGCCCGCTTACACGACAGCCATTGTGGAGCAGAGGCCACCAAGCACCGCGCAAGGCAGGCTGTGTACTGGCCCGGCATTGACGCGGATATTGTCAATACGGTCCGTGCCTGTGAGCCGTGCCAGATCATGCAGCCCAGTCAACAGCAGGAGGCCCTCTTGTGCGACGACTAACCCATCAGGCCCTTCGAGTCCGTGTTGGCTGATTTCTTCAGCACAGCTGGGAAACATTTCCTAGTCGTCGCCGACCGACTCTCTGGCTGGCCTGTGGTGGTTATCTGTGGCTCGGACACGACGTCCTCGGCCACCATTCGCCACTTCCGGCACCTCTTTCGTGACCTGGGCGTCCCCTTACGTCTGAGGACGGACGGTGGGCCACAGTTCGCCAGCCGGGACTTCACAGGATTCCTGGAGCGTTGGGGAGTCCGCCACATTGTGCCAACACCCCACTACCCACAGTCAAACGGCCACGCTGAGGCTGCAGTCAAGACAGTCAAGCACCTCATCCTCAAGGTGGCCTCTTCAGGCAACATAGACTGTGAGGCGTTTGACAAAGGACTCCTGGAGTTACGTAATACTCCCACCCACACAGGACGCTCCCCTGCCCAGATCCTGTATGGTCACCCTCTCCGCTCTTGCGTTCCTGCACACGCCAAGGCCTTTGCGAAGGAGTGGCAGACCAGAGCCGAGAGCTGCGACCGCCGCGCCGCTACACGTGCCCAGGACGCCAAGGCTCGGTATGACGACCGTGCCCGCCCTCTTCAGCCACTGGAGATTGGTGCCCTTGTCCGCGTCCAGGACCCGACGACGACACGTTGGGACAAGGTGGGCATAGTGATGGGCGTCGGCCGGTCGCGGGACTACAAGGTCAGGATGCCGAGCGGCCGTGTCTGGTGGAGGAACCGCCGCTTCCTCCGGCCAGTCCCACCCCCTGCTGCTGGCCCCCTGACCGAGGACGAGTCACCTACACCTCACGAGGATCCGCCCCACAGTGCACCTCGACGCTCGGAGCGACTTAGGACTAAGAAGTCCGCTCAAGACAAAGACTATGAGCGTGAGGGGGGAGGGAGATGTAGGTTATGTATCTAAGCTACTGTGCCGAGTAGCAACCTTGTATATAAGCTACTGTGCCGAGTAGCAACCTTGTATATAAGCTACTGTGCCGAGTAGCATCTATGTATATAATTACGTGGCAACACTGCACGTGTTATGTGGCAACATTGCCTCGAGGCTGCCATATGGCAAGGCAGTCTCAGTCTGACTCCGTGGGTCGTGCAATGCACACGCTAGTCACTACTTGTATTTCTCCTATCCGTTAATAAATGGACTTCAGTGTTACCCGGTGTTTCCCTACCCATCACTGCCTTCTTCAGGGAACACTTGGAACCTTCAATAATAGCATTCACTGAAACATGGATCAACCTAGACTCACGTGAGTTACCGGTCAAATACCAAATTGCGGGTTACAAATTGTTCCATACCGATAGGCAGACCAGGAAAGGAGGCGGAGTAGCAATCTATGTCAGGGATAATCTGAAGTGTGAAATAAATAAGGAAATAAAAACTGAGCGGAATACAGAAACAATTTGGATAGAATTAATGGAAGGTAGGGAAAAATTAATCACAGGAGTAATATATAGACCTCCCAATCTTGATAGTTAATGAGAGACTTATCTGGGATGAAATGCGCAGGGCTTCCATCCACAACAAAGTCTGTATAGTAGGCGACTTTAACTTTGGCCAAATAGATTGGACTGACCTTACGGGTAACTCAGAATCAGAGGATTTTCTCGAAACGATCCAGGACTGTTTCCTAAGTCAACATATAACCGAACCCACCCGGGGTAGTAATATACTCGATTTAGTTCTGTCGAACAGAGAAAACCTCATAAGCAATGTCGAGGTAGGGAACGAACTTGCAAACAGCGATCACAAAGAAATTAGATTCCAGTTAGATTTTCAGGGCAGACGTAAGGAAAATTCCACTAAAGTACCAGATTTCAGAAGAGCAAACTTTGACAGTTTAAAGAGGCAGCTGAGAGAAGGGGTGTTGCGCTTGGGCGTGAACCTGACAGATGACACCGACCTGATAACGAGATCTGAGAAAAGCCAAGTTCCACGACAATTTAAATAATGAGTTACTTTATGCACAAAGGCAGAACATACCATACAAAAAACTCAGATCAGACAGGAATGACCCTAAATGGATAAATAATTATTTAAAGAACATCATTGGCCAAAGGAGGGCTATAGGTAGAAGGATAAATCATGGCAAAATTTACCTCCAGGATTATTATAAGGTATTGTTGAGTAGGGTTAAAACCGAGATAAGGAAAGCCAAGAGGAATAATGAGGTAAGGATAGCAAGGGAAGCGAAGACAAACCCCAAAGGATTCTACCAAATGTATCAAACTAAAACACGAGAAAAGATTGGACCAATACGGTTGAGAACCCCTGATCCAGTACATCTAAGATAATGACACTAGCATCTTCATTGTAGGAACATTGAAAACTCAGGGTCACTGAGGTATGAAAAAGGAAGATCTAGGAAAGTTATAATAGTGTGGGGACGTACTCACAAGTGCTATGACCAACAGAATTAAGATGACCGGTAACTTACTCGTCGTCGTCTCCGAAGTTCCGTCTGAACCTGTTGAAGGACGTAGGGGAGTAGAAATTCCTCTGTGGCCTGAAAAGAGACACAACACTTGGTCACTTCTTATGTTCTTAACAGTACCACACTATGTATTACTATACCACACTATGTATTACTGTACCACACTAATTATCACTGTACCACACAAAGTATTTCTGTACTACACTATTTATTACTGTACCATACTATGTATTACTGTACCATACTTTGTATTACCATACCACACTATGTATTACTCTCCCACACTATGTATTACTCTACCACACTATGTATTACTCTACCACACTATGTATTACTGTACCATACTTTGTATTACTGTACCACTCTATATATTACTGCACCATACTTTGTATTACCATACCACACTATGTATTACTCTACCACACTATGTATTACTGTACCATACTTTGTATTACTGTGCCACTCTATATATTACTGTACCATACTTTGTATTACTGTACCACACTAAGTATCACTGTACCACACTAAGTATCACTGTACCACACTATGTATTACTGCACCACACTATGTAGTACTTTACCACACTATGTATTACTGTACCACACTAAGTATCACTGTACCATACTATGTATTACTGTACCACACTAAGCATTACTGTAATACTGTACTACAATATGCATTAATGTACCACACTCTGTATTATTGTACCACGAGTTGCATTACTCTACCACAGTATGTATTACTATACTATACTATACTATACTATACTATACTATACTATACATTATTGTACTATATTATGTATTACTGTACCACACTATGTATTACTGTACTGCAAAATGTATTATTGTACCACACTATGTATTACTGCACTGTACTATGTATTACTGTACCACACTCTGTATTACTGTACTACACTATGTATTATTGTACCACACTGTAATACTGTACTGCGCAATGTATTATTGTACAGCACTATGTATTATTGTACCACACTGTTTTACTGTACTGCACTGTGTAATATTGTACCTCACTATTATTGTATCACACTGTATTACTGTACTGCAATTTGTATTATTGTACCACACTGTATTACTGTACTGCACTGTGTAATATTGTACCTCACTAGTTTTGTATCACACTCTTATTGTACAGCTCTATGTATTATTGTACCACACTGTATTACTGTACTGCACTGTGTAATATTGTACCTCACTAGTTTTGTATCACACTCTTATTGTGCAGCTCTATGTATTATTGTACCACACTGTATTACTGTACTGCACTGTGTAATATTGTACCTCACTAGTTTTGTATCACACTCTTATTGTGCAGCTCTATGTATTATTGTACCACACTGTATTACTGTACTGCACTGTGTAATATTGTACCTCACTAGTTTTGTATCACACTCTTATTGTGCAGCTCTATGTATTATTGTACCACACTGTATTACTGTACTGCACTGTGTAATATTGTACCTCACTAGTTTTGTATCACACTCTTATTGTACAGCTCTATGTATTATTGTACCACACTGTATTATTGTACTGTGTATTATTGTACGACACTATTATTGTATCGATCTATGTATTATTGTACCACACTGTGTATTACTGTACCACACTATGTATGATTGTATCACACTATGTATGATTGTACCACACTATGCATTACTGTACCACACTTTGCATGATTGTACTGAACTATGTGTTGGCGACAGCTTCTACACCTTAAACAAATTTACGCCTAGGTGGTCCTTGGGCCAGCCACCCTCGTTACACGACGGGCAACCATTATTATGTATTTTTGTACTACACTGCGTATTTTTGTACCAGACTATGTACAACTGTACCACTCTAGGCATTACTGTACCATACTATATTCCTGTGCCTCACTTTTTTATTGTACCAAATTATATTATTGTACAACACTATGTTTTATTGTACTCTAGATATTATTGTACCACAAGATATTCCTGTACTTCACTATGTCTTATTGTACCACACTGTGTACAGTATTACTGTACCAAACTATGTATTATTGTGCCTCACCTGTTTTATTGTAACTCACTCTATACAGTGTTACCCTACCTCTCAATGTATTACCCTTTCCACACTAAGCTGGCCCATAAGCCCCGCCCCTCGTCTATAGCCACAAATAGCTGATTGGTTCCCCTAAGCGTTTTACCTCCCCCGAACTGAACTGCGCCTGTATAAGCGCGTATCTATATCAACCTCTTATGATAAATATTGAAAACTTTCTAGAAATTCTCTCTGAAGTGCTAAAGCCTTGAAATCATCTGCAGTTTGATATTTAACATTACTTTAGATACTAAGAGGTCTGCTTACCAATCGTGAATACATTTAGTTTGAATTTTCAATGAACCAATCAGCTATAAGTATAGAAGAGGGGCGTAGCTTATAGGCCAGGTTAGAATGGAAATACTATATTGCACCACACTCTGTACAGCATTACTGTACCATTCCAGGTATTAGTGTACCACACTATATTATTGCATCACGCTAAGTATTAATGTCCCATATTATGTATTATTGTACCACACTATGTATTATTGTACCACACTATGTATTATTGTACAGTCCCGAACGAAAATTCTGGATACAGCCTCGGTAGATGGTGTAAAGTCAGCCCCACCTTTATTGGACGGCGGGTCGTTGTCGGTGATGCCACTCGTGAATAAACAAACTTTACCAGATTTGTGTCTGAATCTTTCCAGATCGTTAAACCCAAAATTCCGAGGTATGAGAAAATCATATCCAATTACAATTAGTTTAATTATAATCAATCCAATCTACAAACTTTAAAAAATATATACGGGTAATATAGAAAAAATATTTGATAACAAATGGAAATAGACACTCGGTATTCTGCATTTCAAAAGAAAGCGAAATTTATTCGTTGGGCAGTTTAAGATGAGACTAAATTAAAGTTCTATCTGAGTAAATCAAAGCAGGAATTTTACTTAATATTTAAACAAGTAGACTGGTTGTACTGTAGTAATTTGTTATATCGTGCTTGAGACAATTATAAAACCACTCCAGTGACCAGAGTGAGTGGAGGGAGGGAGGAAGGGCAGGTGCGTAACTTAGCCTGTGCCAGGCCAGCCCGGTCTAGAAAATATGACTTTCTTAAGAGAGGACAGACGTGTAGTTATAAACGTTTTAACTTTCTTTATTTGACACAGCAACTAAGAAAATATATAAAACATTTCTTACAAAATAAAATAAGAGAGATTCACGTTGTTTAGAGATGCCAAATTGGCAATTCACGGGCCCATGGGTGCCAAATTACTTACCAATTACTTAGCAAATTAAGTGCCAAAAGAGCACTGTCATATCTAAGTTAATTATGAGCCTTAAATATAAAAACATAAATTAAAGAATATAAATTACTTATAGAATTTTTCAATGCATGGGAGATTTTTCAAAAATTTCTCTCAAACATTCAAGGTTAGGGTCAAACTTTCAAGATCTAGCAACAATTTTCAAGCAGTGGCCCCACTGGTCGCTGTCCAGCCACCACCCCCAACACACACACAAGTACCCAAGCAGTCCAACAATCGAGCTCTGATAGTTCCAGTCCTCAATAAGGACTGGGAAAGGAAGTCACTGTTTTGTTTAATAAATTCATGAAACAGTTTATCCAATCAAGTTTTACATTACTTAACATGATGGTGCACATTAACAGACAGTGGGACTACTACAGGGAGTTAGTGTGAAACTACTGTACCACACTACGTATTATTGTACCACATAATATTATTGTACCACACTACGTATTAATGTACTATACTAAGTATTATTGTACCATACTATGTATTATTGTGCCACTCTATTTATTACTGTACCATTCTATGAATTACTGTACCACACTATGCATTATTGTACCACACTATGCATTACTGTACCACACTATGAATTAGTGTACCACACTATGTATCATTGAAGCTAATTCCAATATTATAAATTAATTTTATTAGAATTAGTTAATTTTACCGCCACACCACCCCGTTAAGTACTGTACTGGGGTGTCCCTCAGGACTCATTTAGTTTAAAACTCGGGTTGAAACACGACGACCCTCTTCAAGGAAAGATGTTGTTTAATAATACGGTCGTTAGTCTTTTCACTTTGTATTGATCACAACAGTTCCACAATACTTGCCCAACAATAACCTCCAGATGTCTTCCTTGGCTCGTTATACTTTACACTCTGAGTAGAAACGGTTGACTGACTCAAGGCCACTCGCTTCTGCTTAAATATGTCTCGTCAGACGATCCTGGAACAACCTACACAGGTCTGGGAAGTTCAAGTATGTTCTACTCTGATCAAGGCTTACAATAGGAAGTATATCATAACACAAATGATGTAATACATTCTAGAAAATTCTTAATGAGTAGTATATCAATATATGCACGAAAAACTCCCTAAACTTGCCAAAATAGCTGTTGCTTGGGACAGAAAAAAATCAAAACACCGAGTTTGCAAACACTATAATACCAAATTAAGCCTCGGCATAACACTATCCCCTCCCCAATCCTTGTGCCGTCCCGACACAACCTATTCAATATGTACATAATAATCCTCCATGTTGCTAGGTCTCCTTTTCTTCCTCTGATGCCGCCGACATACTGGAATGTTCTCAGAGTCCTCCCTTGGCGCAGCAACCTCAGACACATCCTCAGATTGGTCCCCCTCTCTTGTCACGTCGAATTCCGCTAAGAGGGAACAGTGCTCCTCTTCATGGTCCATGGTCGGGTTCCCCGGATTGATACGGCCCCGAGTTCTTCCAGGATCTCCGGGTGGATCCTCGTCGAGGTGACAGCTTTTCAGAGTCTCCCCAGGTGTACTGCCCTGGTCCATTATACTGCCACAGATGATTGACATGGACCACATTCGGCTGTCTTCCTTCTTGCCCTGATCCGGTAGGTCACATCTAAAAGGCGTTCCATTACAGTGTATTGTCCTTCCCATGGATTCTGCAACTTCGGTGACTGACCCTTCTTTCGCAAAGGGTTATACAGACAGACTTTATTACCGCCCTAGTAACA